CCAGGAACAAATGTCTGGGCTAGAAGAGAAGGATTTAGAGGCACAAAGCATGGTGAGAGAGGGTCTTCCAAGCAAACTCTCAACAGGAACAAAATGTCAATTTCTACTTCGTTGCAATTTAGCTCATTTTAGAAAATTTCTAAGGCTCCACAAACTACGATTTTCCATTTACAGAAGGCAAACACTGAAAAATGAAAAGAGAAGAGGAATTTCAGTGACAAAATCCAAGCCACTGATTCCTCAGAAACAGTTCTTGGGCATAACGGATCCACGGGGCTGCACCCAAGCGGCAAAGTCCACTCAACTTTAAAAAACAAGTGCTTGTGTATCTGTTTAATAGAGTGCAAGCACTCGCAGGACTGACGCTCTCCCTCTGTATAAATCACCAGCACCCCAAAATCAAAGAGCAGAAAATACCTAAACACAGGGAAAAAACACACACACACACATTTCACACAGCTCAGTAGGTGGTGTTTAATCAGCATGTGAAGTCAGAGCTGATTTTTCCTGAAAAAAAAAAAAAAACAACAAACTAAAAATTCTAACAAAGGAATGTGACGGCAAGCTTATTAAAGCCGACACTGTAACTACAAAACATGTTTCCTGACTACAGATGCTCCTGCTGTGAAAGGCCTCCAAAGGAGCGATTACATGTGTTATACGCTGCTTCTCCCCCTAATAACACCAACATTAATCAATCTATACAAATACCCACACACACACACAAAAGTTAGTGTGGAAGAATAAGGAACTATTCTTGGACTCAATCATGACAAGTCAGTTGTGAGTTTTCAGCTCAATAAATTTATTCATGCCTGCTTAAGCTCAAAAGTTCTTGGGGGCTGCCACGATGGCTCAATTGGCTAATCCTCCACTTGCAAGCACCGGCATCCAAAATGGGTACCGGTTCACGTTCCAGCTGCTCCACTTTCCATCCACATCCCTGCGGACAGCCTGGTAAAGCAGAAGAGAACAGACAGAATGACAGATAATTCCCATTTGTTAGTTCACGTTCCACCCAGCCAGGAGCTGGGAACTCAATCTGGTTTCCGCAGTGTGAGGCAGGATCCAACTGCCTAAGGCATGACCTGCTGCGGCCTGGCACGCACGTTACCAGGCAGCGGGCATCCGCACAGAAGCAGGACTCAAACCCAGTACTCCATTGTGGAACGCAGGTGCTAACCAGCTTTGTAACCTCTAGACCAAACCACAGTCCCGGGAAGCCAGTCTGGGATGGAGCTCCTGGTCCCTGCCCAAGCGCCTACGATGCCAGTGGAACCGCCAGGCAGCCCCTACTTGCTCCATGACCTCCTAGCACACGGAACTGTCTTCCAACAGCGATGCATGCTGCTCACAGGATGACAAGTCAATCTGAACTGTCCTCCTGTCACACAGCGACATGGCACTAAGTGCATCACAGTCCACTCACAGGGGACGGAAGCTGGCGACTTCAAAAACACCATCTCATGCCGTCTTTGCATGCACCATGCTGAACAGGCAAGCCAGTAACCAGGAACTGACCTCCCTGACAGCGTATCCTCCCTTCTTCAACAAACCATAATTAAATGATGCTGAAAGGAGGTTTTTTCTTATCACTTTTATGTTATGTCCTTTCTGAGTTGGTGGGATGGCCAAAAAGTTTTCAAAGTTTCTTCTGTTTTGTTTTGTTTTCAAATTATCTTGTGAAATCCCGGAGTTTGGGAATGCTAGGATAAGCCTTTACCGGACACACAGCATTGCAGCTGGATTCATTCTGAACCTCGACCAAGATATGCAAAGCTAATTCTAGAACCGTTAATTACTATTTCTTTAAAAAAGTTTATTATAAGACACCTAAGCCTCTACCAATACTAGAAAAGAATGTTAATATTTTTATCATAAATTTAAGCCCTCAACGTGTTCAAAGTCACAATATATTAATACAGTTTGAAACCAATATTCCAGTTACATATATTGTTTAACCAAAAAAATTAAAAAAAAAAAAACAAAAAGCCTTACAGCCATTAAGAAATCCAAACACTTATGGCCAGTCCTCTCGTTGTGAGACATGCCCTTCAAGATGCACACACAGTCTGGCTGTGTTTTATGAACAAAAACTACTTCCGAAATAATTACTGAGAATCCAAAAATGAGCTAGAATACAAGCACGGTATGAGCTGTCAAATGAGGAGCTGGCTCAGGAACGGTAGTAAAGGAAAGTCAAATGGAAAATAGAACTGTAATAGTCCCAGTTTTTCAATCAGATTTGAAGCTTAACGGTTTGTCAGAAATACTCTTATGTGCAGATTGTCAAAATCTAAAACTCCCAAGGCTGGAAGTTGTTTTTTTATTTTTTCAGTGCTTTCATTGTGACTCAAGATGGATTCTACTGAGTGACGGCAATGAGCCGTACTCTTTGCTACGGGTTTACTTGACAAATTCATACGTCACCAACTAAAATAAGAGGTGTCATCCCACCGTCCCAAAATTTCAAAAGGACCCAGTGCAGTAGCCTAGTGGCCAAAGTCCTCGCCTTGTAATACACGCTGATCCCATATGGGCACCGGTTCTAATCCCAGCAGCCCCGCTTCCCATCCAACTCCCTACTTATGGCCTGGGAAAGAAGTCGAGGACAGCCTAAGCCCTTGGGACCCTGTACCCGCATGGAAGACCTGGAAGAGGCTCCTAGCTCCTGGCTTTGGATTGGCTCAGCTCCGGCCATTGTGGCCGCTTGGGGAGTGACTCAACAGACAGAAGATCTTCCTCTCTGTCTCTCCTCCTCTCTGTATATCTGCCTTTCCAATAAAAATAAAATAATCATTAACTAGAAAGAGACAAGAGCACATGTTAATGAGGGGTCTTCAAAAAGTCATGAAAAACTATGCATGGATTTCAAAAAGTTTTACACCAAAACAGACATCTTTAATTTCATTTTTCCACAAACTTATTTTCAGTACCTTCATATACACATCATTTTAAGAAACAGGTTTTCAACCCCCCTAAAAACACATTAAGTTAGGTTTTGCGGTTGAAGACACAATTTTGCGTACTCCACTTGGAAAAGTAAAAACATTATAAACACTCTACAGAAGCAATATAAAAGAGCCTGAACTCAACAAGTTTCAGGTTAAAAAAAAAAAGTCATTTTATTGTATGAAGCCTTAGGGGGGAAAAAGCTGGGTTTCCCTCTTACACATGGACACAAGAAGCTTACACTGTATTGGAGCCTGGGTCTCTCTCCACCCCAGACTATCCTGCAGCCAACTTCCTGGGTTACGTAAGTGACATCACAAGCGCTTCTACACAGCTGATGACCTAAATACAACACTGTGTCTACAAAACAGTTCAACACACTGTCCTGCCGAGGCTAGAATGTTTAAAAACGTGAACTTGACAACATTTTCCAGTATCTTCTCTTGAAGCGCTTACCTTCGGCCTCTATCGAGACTCACTCCATAAAGGGAGCCCTTCATCCAGCCTAGCAAATGTTTTTTTAACTCCTGTCCTTCTGTTCATAAGATCAAGCCCATGTTAAGGCAGTGTTCTTGCAACAATCCTGAGGGAAGAGAACAGCCGAGAAAGACCGGGTCTGCCTGAAGGAAGCCTCCACGCACAAAGCACCTTCCAGGGAAGTTTTTCTTTTTTTTTTTTTTAACAAAGTCTCAAACTTCCACAAACATTCCTTCTTTCTGACCAGTCAGGTAAAGATAGCAAATGGCCACATTTCAAACTACTTTCCCCTTACAACAATAAATACATGGGGAGTGTGCGTCACCAACATCCAAACTTCAAAGTGAATAGGGCTGACACCGAAGAATGCTCAAAATGCTCGCGAGGTTAGCTCTGTTTACCTTCCCAATGGAGGTCAGGGCTGGGCAGAGGCTGGTGTACTCGGGGTGCACCGAGCCAGCAGCACCCGTGGGGACGCCTTCTTAGTAACTGGCCCACCTGGCTAGAGCTGAGGCCAAGCTCTGTGCCGGGTCAGTGTTTAATGCTAGGCTCCACGACTGGCAGAGAGCAGGCGAGTTTCACAGCTCATTTATTTGGCACAATGCTCAGGTTGTCATTGGCAACGCTTTGTCTCTCCCAGTCTTGTTTGGTGATCCACTCCAGCCCATAGTAAGTTTCAGCTATTGTCATTCTTTACCTGATCAACCAAAAGCACCCTCCCCTCGTGGCCACACGGGGCCTGGGGAGGGCTTACTGCACCTGCCCTGCAGGGTTCCAGCATTCTCAGCCCGCGTGAGCACACATGGCACTCCCCCACAGTATGTGCTGGAAAGGAATGGAAACACCTCAGTGCCGCCTGCCTTGCCTTTGCACCAGGACTGGGCATATGCACCTTCAGGTGCAGTAGACAGTAACGCAGCTCACAAGTGCCAACCAAAGAAGCCAGGAGGGCACCTGACACTCAGGCACCACTGAAGATGCACAGAGCTCAAAGCAAGACAGCCCTGGCTCACGGCAACACGCAAAACGGACTTTCACAATAGCAATTTTCTGGAGCCACTGACATATTTAATAATTAACAAAAAAAAAAAAAAAAACGCAACCCTTTTCCCCAAAGGTTTGGTGAATAGGTGCAATCTATGCAGACGACAAAGCTCCATCAGAATGAAAAAAATAATAATCAGAAACGACGCCAGGTGCCATTCTTGGGGCTTGTCCAAAGGCAGCCAGTGAAGACTCTTGTTGATTCTGCTCTCCCCACATTAAATAAAAATAACAGTCAACGCCAGAGGAAGGGGTCTGAACAGCAGGCCAGGCAACCCTCCTGAGCATGAGATCCTAAAGGCGCTCCAGTCCTGGGCTCCAGGAGGGCCTCACCTGCCTCGGGGGAGCCGAAAGCAGCACTCCCCAAAGCCAGAACACACCTCGTACTGCGCTCAGCTACTAAACGCATAGAGAAGCAATTTTAAACACAGTCCAACCAAATCTAACCCCACCAGCAATTCTCCTGTTTAAAATAGGAAAAACGCAAGCCTGGGGGTAAACAAAGGTATAAACGTTAACAAACTTACCTAATTTTGACAATGTTGTGCAACTCCGCAAGAACCCTCAGCGAGTGTCCTTTCCAGGGGGGAGGGTGTTTGCAATAGGCCTGCTCTGCAACTTCAGCTAAAAACACTAGCCTCGCTATGCAACTTTTTTTCCCCCTTCTTTAAGTCAACAGAAAGCAGCACCCCTCTCTAAAAACACAGACACTCAGCTTTTACTGTAGGAGGCCAACACGGATGCATCTCGCGCGCGGAACCATACACGTCCCCTATGCCTTTGCAAATACCTTCACCTCCAAAGGGCGAGGGGCCTCGGGCAAGGGTAGGGACGCAGCCTGCGCTCACCGTGGCAACGACTGGCCCAGGGAGGCTAGAGACCCCAGTCGCTGATACTACAGAGTGCCGCAGGGCAGAGAGAAAGCTAAAGAAGCACACACACACAGCCCACCCCACCCCACCCCACCCCCTGGGCTAGGCAAACCCAGAGAGAAGGTCAGGCTCCGAGACCAAAATCAAAGGCACGAGAAGATAACCCAGGATGGCTGGGGGAAGAGAGTCGGAGATGGCATGTGGCTGGAAGTTGTCCAGAAGGGGCAAGTGGGGTGCTATAGGGGGCGAACGGCGCCAGGAAGCGGGTAGCAACTGGGAGTCTGGGGGAGGGCGCAGCCTGCGAGGCACAAACGTGGCCCAGCGCGGGGCCGCCGGCGGTAGCGAGCGGGGCTCACCTGCGGGGTCCTCTCGGCGGGGTTCTTCATCACGGCTTGGCGGAAGCTGTTATCCACGTAGGACGCCATCTCCCCCCGCCGCCCGGGCCGGGGCCGCCGCTCCGCACCCTCGCCGGCCTCCTCCCGGCCCAGCACTGCCGCCGCCTCCGCCCTGCGCCTTCCGCCCCGGGGCCGGTCGGCCGAGCCGCGGCGGCGCGGGGCCCTGGCTGTGGGGACGGCCCGGCCGGGCCCTGCGCCCCGGAGCGCCGGACGCGGCTGCGCTCAGTCCCGAGACCCGCGGCCCGCAGCCCGCGGCGCGCGCGCCCACCGCCGACTCCTCTTCCTCCTCGTCGTCCTCGTCGCCGCTGGGCCCCGCGAGGCTTCCAGGCGCGCCCGGCTCCCTGCGGGCCGGGGCTCGACACGCCTCCCCCGGCTCCCTGCTGCGGGGGACGGCGGCGGCTCGTCCTGGCCCGGCGGGGCCCGAGGTATTTTTAGGGAGGTCCGGGCGGCGGGGGGAGGGTGGGGAAGGGCCGCGGCAGGCGGAGCTTCTTCTGCCCCCTCCTCTCGGGGGCTCGCGCCGCCGCCCAGGGGTCCCCGGAAAGCGCCGGGGCGCCGGGTGACCGCCGGCGAGGCCGGGGTGGGTCCAGTTCAGGTCCGGGCGCCGCGAAGCCCGCGCGCCGCCGCCGCTCTCCGTCTAGTGCACTCGGCCGCGCCTCCCGACTGCTGCTGCATCCCCTCCGGCCGCCCCGCCGCCGCCGCGGGCTGGGTCTCCGCCGCCGCCGCTCGACCCCATGGGCGCGCGCGGAGCCGAGCCGCCCGTGCGCCCGGCGCGGCCGAGGCAGCCGGCCTGCAGCCCTCGGGCCCGGGCGCCGCGGGCAACTTTGTTCCTTGGTCTGCGCGGGCCGGGGCAGGGGCGGCAGACGGGCCGCGGGCTGCCCAGGTCGGGGGCTCCCGGCGGCGGGCGTCCGAGGGCCGAGGCGCGGCGCGCGGCACCCCCGGCGGAGACTGTGTTTGGGAAGCGGCGACTTCCCTCCTCTTCCTCCGCCTCTTCCTCCGGCGCCTTCCCGGGCCGCCAGTGCCGCTCCTCAGGGAGGAAGCGGCCTCCGGGGCTTGTTGCTTTGTGCTGCAACCATGGTGAGGAGTGAGTGACAAGGCCGGGGCGAGTCGGCGGCCGCCGCATCATCGCGGGGCGGAGCGGCCCGGGCGCTCCGGGTCCCGCCTCCCCGCGCTCCTCATGCCGCCCGCCGGCCGCGCCCTCGCTCGGGGAGCCGCACCTTGGGCCGCAGCCGCCAGGTAAGCAGGGCGCACGGGCGATCGCGGGCCTCGCGGAGACCCTGGGCCGACCGAGCTGGCCTGGGCCCCCTGCACCGCCAAAGCCCTGTAGGGGCGCCCCGGTCAAGAGCTGCTGGCCGGGCGAGGGCAGGCGCGCGGCTCGAGGCACCCGCGTGGAGTCACAGCTCCCAGACTTGGCCCTGGCGCCAGGCGCTGGCCCCCGGGACTGGAAGTTGATCAGAAGCAGAAGGCCCCAGCTTGGGCAGTGCCAGGCATTCTTTGACCCCCGGAGTCTGGCTCCGCGTCGCGTCGCGTCCGTGTGGCCAAATCCTCTTAGGGCCGATTGGCTTAATTGTGACTTACTGCACAGGGACCGCGGTGCCGCCTTGCCTAGCGTCCTCCGTCTGGCACCTCGCAGGTACTTGAGTGATCTCAGAAGTAGGCCATTGGAAACGTGCCGCGGTCAACATGGCAGACCCAGTGGCAGCCCCTATCCACAGCCAGACTTGGAGGTGAATTGTTTTTGGAGAGGAGCGTGGAAAGTTCTATGGTTATCACTAGAAATAAGTATTGGTACATCTGGCTTTTCTCTGGGGTCCTGTGGGACCCCAAATACAATAGGCCTTTAAGATGTTAGCCGATCCTTCATCCTCCCCGTGCCGGATGTCCAGGTGCACAAGACAGGCTAGCCCAAATGTAAGTAGCGCCCTAGCCAAAACATTGGGGAAATCGCATCACAGCTCCGGCCCCATGGTTTAACTGTGGATTCCTCCACCTAGACACAAATTCATTCACTCAGAGGCTAAGAGACTGTTGGCACTTTGCTATGTGAGCTACTAAATCAATCTTTTTTTTTTTTTTCAAAAATACGTTTTGTGAATTTCTAGTTTAAATGTTGAAACAGATTATCAGCTAACGATGGCAGGTCCTTAAGTACACAGAGTGTCTCTCAGCAGACCGTGGCTTCTTAGAGAAGCGAACATCCCTGCAACCCGGGGAAACTCAGAGCTGCAGATTGTATCCATAAACCCTTCTGTGTTACCCTTGCTGAAGTGACTTCCTTCCTGAGTCTGTCCCACATCTCAGCCCTGCATCAGCTTCCCGGCCGTAGACTACCTCCTGGAAAGCAAAGGGACAGGAACACATGCCATTGCCACTTTGGAAGCAGAGCAGGAGAGCTTCAGACCCAATGAAGTAGAAGTCTATTTTCTGCTGTCTCCCAGGTGCATTAGCAAGGAACTGGATCAGAAGTGGAGAAGCTGGAACTCAAACCAGAGTTCCAATATAGAATGCTGGTATCTTTTTGATCATTGATAAATCCTCAATACATAGTACACAGGAACTAAATGTGTATGGAACAGACACAAGGGGTTGTCGTGTTATCTTGTATTTCTGTGACACAGTCACATGCACTCTCTTCTTCGTGTCCCTGATTGGGGAGAGAAGACTGGAGGAGGAAGCCTGAACTCCCTGAGCCTCTTTTCCATTCTGTAAGAAAAAAAAAACTGCATGCCCCAAAGACCTGCAAGGAGCAGATACAATACATCAAAAGTGCCTAGCATAGCGCTGCAACTATAGAACGTACACAACATAAGGTAGCTACTTTTAAGATAACCATCACAGCCCTTTGAGGTTAATGGGACAGTTAATACCATCCTATTAACAGGTGAGGAAACTGACAGGAAATTCTGTGTAAGCTGCCCGTGTTAAAGGCTGCTTTTGGAAGAATCCAGAACAAGCTAACAAGTAGAGACTCACATATCCTGTCGATGTATACTAAAAGTCACAGGTTGGTTGGAGGAGGACCACTGCATGCTGGGAGTACTGGCCTCGGGCTTACACTTCACATGTCCTGTTCTTCCAGTTTCAGCTGCATACCATTCCCACAAGGCTCACCATGGAGGATGCTCCAGCCTGCAGAGCTAAACTACATCACATCCCTCGCGAAAGCCACCTCCTGGCAGTTCCTTAGACCCTTAGCCAACTTTCCAAAATGAGTCCTGGAAGTGGCAGGGTACTGCCATTGAGGGTAGTGCTGAGACAGTGTGGCACTCCCAGTGCCAAGGCCAGAAGAGAATGGGCATGGGGCAGCCACTCCTCGGCCCTAGATCTCACAGCGAGAAAATGAATTCCTGGGGCAAACCCCCTCGTGTGGCCCCTGTGGTGTGTGTTAAGCCACCACTCGATTCTAGTAGCTCATATCAACACACTACTTCCAGTTCCCACTGCTCTGCTTCCGATCCATCTCTGCTGATGCTGCTGGGAAAGCAGCGGAAGATGGTCCAGGTGCTGGAGCCACTGCATCCCACTGGGGAAATCCGGATAGAGTTCCCAGCTCCTGGTTTCTGCCTGGACCAGTGCTTGCCATTACAGCCATCTGGGAAGCAAACCAGCTTGTGGGGGATCTCTTCCTCTTCCTTTTCTGTCTCTCTCATTCTACCTTTTAAATAATAAATACCCATGAACAGAATGACTCGATGTCAACATCTAAGCTATCATTTAACTTCAATTAAAGCTCGTTTCCCACTGTTTAAATCTTAGCTACTTATATCACAACAAGGCTTGTGATCACTCAGAATCTAGAACATCTGATACTTGGCATGCCTTCCTTTTTTGCTCACACTGAGCACTAACAGTATGCTAGGTACAGCCTGGAAGACACTAGGTATCATTTGGACAGCATGCCAATGAGCCTGAATCCAACTTGTGTGCTTCCTGAGTGCTGAACACAGGTCTAAATGCTGACAGTACTCATGTTGAGTGTGATGAACATGGTGCCTTCCCTGGACTCATGGGAGCCTGTGCCACATCCCACACACTGGCTTGATTTACAGCATCCTAGGAGGAAGGCAGATGGGGAGCTGCTCTCCCCTGCTGAGGTGTGCCATCAGTCCTAAACCATGCTGCCTCTGTTTCCCACTCTCTCCAATTCTTACAGACCTCCCATCCTTCACACACTTTCCCTCTCCTCAGAAACATGTTTTAAGCCTTGTTTTCCAGATACTTTTCCCCTGGTAGTAGAGCTAGTGAAAACCTCAGGAGAGTGGAAGGCTTTATAGTTCAGACACTGTATCATTCCCAGTGAGCTCTCACCACTGTGCTCACCGGTAGAGAGCATTCCAGAGTCCCAGATGGAGAGTAGAGATACAGATGTCCAGGGAGAGATACAGTGTGTTCATTGGACAGAGCTCATGAAGCTTCAGAAAGAGTATCCAAACACTGTTACTATCAGACCCTCAGGATTGATGCTATAGCAGTTAAATTCTTCCCCGTGATTAAGAACAACATTGATGCACATATCATAAAGATATTTAGGTATTTTGGAACTGAGAGTTGAACAAAAACTGTACTTCTCAAATGTAGAAATACATTTAGTATTAGTTCTACCCTGGACCAACAAAACAAAACAAGCCAAAATAAATGGTTAAATCATATAGTATGCAAAGTAACAAGTCTGTTGTGTTTGTTACACCATTTTATCCCTCACACTTGCATGGCTACTTCCTTTTGTTGATTTGTTTGTACTTGAAATCCTGGAGCAGAGAGAGAGAATAGACTTCTCTGTTTTCCTGATTGGAAAAGAACCGGTGCTGACATTTTGAAAGGAAATGCATTCCTGAACTGTTGAACCACTAACAGCTCTTGCCATTGTTGGAATTTATTTTTGTAAATTGCCCTATACAACTGTGATCCAAAGTCAGTCTACCCACCTTTAGGAAAACTGAAAAAA